GCAAAACAGGGCAGCGCCTCTCCATTGCCTCCTGACCAGAATCCAGAATCCATCTTATTTCAAAAACCAGGCACTGGGGCGCCTCAAGCAACCGCCAGAGCGGCCGGGCTTCTGGAATGTTGCTGAGGGCGCACAAGCTTCCCCGGTGTGAACCGTGGCAGGCAGGGGTGGGCCTCTTCCATTGTAAGCAAAGCCACGTCTCCAGTCTGAAGGCTCAGCCCTTCCCGAGTCCTCCTGGCCAAGGAGGTGTGGGCTGAGCGGGGGAGAAGTGCTGGCCTCTCCGCTGCTTTCTTAGGAGCTGCCATCTCCCCACACAAGTGAACACAACATGCAAAACCCACAGAGCTGAACATGGATCAAAATATGAGGTCTTGCAAAAAGTGTGCGCCTGCGTGGGAGGGAGAGTGGATGTGGGGATTCCGAGGTTCTCCTTTCACAGCAGGCAGCGTCCCAGTGGCTGTCCAGGGGCCAGGCGCAGGAGCCCAGCCGCCTCCCTGCCATGTGCATAGGGCTGTTAGCCAAGGGGAACTGCAGTCAGGAGGCAGGTGGAAAAGGAGGACAGTCCATTTCCGTGAGGCTGTTTGCTGTACCGCGTGCGCGCAGGTTCACACCAGCCACCTAAGGCAGGGGCCCACCAGGTGCCCGCAGAGGCGCACACCTGACCACTCTGCAGCCTCCCAGGCCTTCTGGTAAGCAGGAGAAGTTTCAAGAGCACTAAAAATGGGGAAAGAAAAATGTTTCTTTTGGGGGTGGGGTGGGGTTGTGGCTCAGTAGTAGAGCGCTTGCCTCGCATGTGTGAGGCCCTGGGTTCGATTCTCAGCACCACATAAAATAAATAAATAAAATAAAGGTATTAAAAATGCTTAAAAAAAAAGAAAAATATTTCTTTTTGACATTTGTTTTAAGTCGTGGGTCTCAGACCCAGTTGTGCGCCAAATACAACCTAGGAGGCATTTGTGTGGGGCACTGGGGCTGCAAGGGCCTCACACACGCAAGGCAGGCCTCCCCCACTCAGCTTCCCAGTGCCCACCTAGGATGCCCGGCCCCACTTGGGAGCCCTGACTCAGAACCTCCGCCTGTTGACCCAGCAGCTCTGGCATCTGGGAAGAGCTGCTGAGGGGACACGGAAGGCTTCAGACCATCCTGCTGTCCTTCCAGACGGCACGCTGCCCTCAGCTCCAGGTTACGCTCAGAGCAAAGCCTTATGTTTGAATAAGGGGCTTCAAAAACACTGCTTGGGGACCCTTCAAAGTGCAATAACACTTCCATCAGCTGTCCCAGGAGAAACGCCATCCGAGACAGGAGCTGACCTCAGGTTCGGGTGGGACACTCTGTCAGGTTCCCTGAGGAGCCAGAGCTTTCAAGGAGATGGCAGTTTCCTCCTTTCCCAGGCGGTTCCCTCTCCACCTCCCAGGTGGGACTCAGGCCAGCTAACGCTTACCGGGCACTTATGGTCAGGAATGGGCCAGGAGGCTCCATTTAATTGTCACAGAACACGGGTGGAGCTGGTGTCCTCCCCTCAGCAGATGAGAAGGCCAGGTTGCCCACGGCCATCAGGCAGAAAGGGGCAGTCAGAGACAAGCCCAGGCCATGGCACCCGGGCAATACGCCTTCCCTTCTGCGGTCACATGGCACAGTTGGGGTTACTTTCCATGTCTGCATTAACCTCATAACCAATGGATGCTGCTTAGCACCCAGGCTGCTGCTGCGGGTGGAGACCATGAGGAAACAAAGGGAAACACAGGCCAAATACGTGGAATCCGCACGCTGCCTCTTTGTTTTCCTGGTGCCAATTCACTTTGAGTGGGGGTTGGAATGAATAATTGCTTAATTCGGGTGATTAAGGTGCCAAGTGCTGCCTCTCTTTCTCTAACTGCAAGAGAACAACCCCTCGTTGGAGATGGAGAGCTCGCAGTCTTCTCTGATTCCCCACCCAGGTTCTGCTCAGCACCAGTGTCCTCAGGCTCTCAACAATAATGTGAAACGCGTTCACGTGCTGGGGACGGCTGGGCAGACGCCACCCAGGGTCTCAAAGCCTTCTCTGCGCACAGCCTGCTTCCTGCATTTAGGGAGCGTGCTCCTCTTCAGCCCCTTTCCCAGTCACTGCCACATTAATTAGTAAGGTATCATTTTATAAATTACATCTTCATATCAGAGGAAAGCAGAGTTTATCTTAATTCAGGCGGCTGTGTGAAATACAGTCCCCTGATTTTAGACGCCAGTTCGCAGATCCCTGTGGAGTAGGGGGATGACAGTTTCTTCTGGAGAGAGTTCCCAGTGGGTCCCCACGAGGCTCACTGTTGCCTCCAACAGCATTCCTGGTGGGCTCCCTGCAGGGGTCTCAGGACACGGAGGGCATCTGCGGTCCTCCCAGCCGTACAAGACAGCTGCCCTGGGAGCTCTGGGGCTCCAAGGTGCATGGCCAAGGGCCTGCCACACAGGAGGCCGACAGGGCCAGGCTCTGGCGGAGACAATTTTGGGAGGACGGGGTTCAAGGTAGTAATAAACCCAGACCATTTTAGTCCAAAAGGAGAAGGCTGACCCTCTCAACTACCCCAGGGCCGAGGAGGCCCGGCTCAATGACAGAGGCTTGATTGTTCCTGCCAGGAACCTCCAGGAGAAGGCATGTGGCAGGGCAGGGACCCATGCAGAGTGCCTGTCGTGGCGTGGCTTTCAGTTAAGACCTGCAGGAGTACCTCGCGCAAAGGAGGCACAGCATGCACAGGGGGTGGGGACACCCCCGAGGCCCTTGTCTTCTCTGTAAGCATCTGTTTTTCTAAAAATATCTATTTTTCAGTTGTAGATGGACAACAATACCTTCATTTTATCTTTACGTGGTGCTGAGGATCGAACCCAGGGCCTCGTGCGTGCCAGGTGAGCGCTCCACCCCTGTGGGCACCTGTTAGTTTTCCTTATTGCCCTGTAGTCCTCTAAGCTGAGTGGGGGGGGGGGTGCTGCCTTCCCACGGCCCCCTCACTTGGACCTTTGCTTCTTACTGCACTCAGGAGAGCCGGCGACGGCTCGGGAATCCAGGTGACAGCCAAGGCCTACCCAGCATACAGGAAGGCCCGTGGCCCCCAGCTCCCTGTGACAGCCACAAGTAACTTAATTCTAGAAATTACCAGAGCTAGGTGACCACCTCTGTGATCGTCGACCTTGGGGAGGCCTAGGCACTGGCACTGGAAGAGCTTCCCGGGGGACCTGAGGATGCAGCCAAGACCGCGACGGCAGAGCCAGACTCAGGAGCGCACTGCAGCACCCTCCCACCTCCACTGCTGACCTCGATGCCCCTGGAATCCACGTTTCCTTCCTGAGAAGGAAGTCTGCCTTGTCAAACCCTGCGTGAGGCCCATTTACTTGGAGAAGTGCCAGACCTGGGAAGTGAGAGCCCCACCACCCACAGATTTCCTGGAATGGCCAGAAGGTTCCCGTCCTCTCTGGGTGCCAGCAACATCTGACAGAGCTAGACAATAACTGCCACGTGTGAACGTGACTGGTGGCTCAGTGGGCACTGACCACACTGGGAATGCTGAAGCATTATTGCTGTTCACTCATCCCTGGCACCCACTACACACTGGCTGCCTGAGACACCAGGGGTCCTACTTCCAAGGAGCTGAGACTCGCAGGGGCTGGAGGGAGGAAGTTCCTACTTGTCAGTTAAACAAAAGAATAACCCACAGCCCCTTCCAGAGTGTACTCTCCCTGTCATCCAACAGCCCATTACCATGTCACAGCACAGCGCACCCTTCCATAGGTCACTTTGTTTAAAGTGACATGGATAATGCACATGTCAGCAAGCTGACAGTCCTGGCCGTCCTTCAGAGATAAAAACCTCCAGGCGAGAGCCTGTTCTTATCTGGGGGACATGCATTGGTCTATCATCCAAGTCAGGCAGAACATGATTTCTCCAGAGAGCACTTTTTTCATTTCCTGATTTTAAGGAAATCAAATAAGCACCATTTGTCTTCATCTGAATATGCTTGACCTGCTCAAATGATGATGTCTCGCATTTTATAACAGGCTACATATGCTGAATTCAAATTAACGACAGTGCAGAACAAGAGCCTTTGGATCTCTCCTGGAGACCGGCACAGAGAAGAAGGGAAAATTCCTGGGCTGGACGCAGAGAGCTCAATAAATGCAACTACAGGATTCTGAGTAAAATCTGCAAGAACTTAGGAGCTCAGAGTCAGAGCACAAACTTGGAAACGGGGAGGGGGGGGCGGGGGGCAGGACCGTCCCTCCTTTTGGGCCAAGCATTATAGAAAACGTGATGCTCAAGTAACTTTGTTAAAAACATAAAACAGCAATAAAAACTCAGAGGAGTTTGGTTGGCAGATTGGGATAGGGAGAAAGAGAGACCAAGTACATAACCACTTTGTTTCAGGCAGCAGAAAGCTCACTTTACCAGGTTGTGGTCCAATCTTCTGGAAGCTCAAATACTGAGCTTCTCTTCTGGATCCATGCTGATCTGGACACACAGAGGCTGCACCTGCTGGAAGAACTGCCCTCCCCCGGCCATCCACCCACAGAAGACAGCAGCTCCCACCTGTCCACCCCAACCCCCATGGGATGTCTGGACACACTGCCCTGGACATTTCTGTTAGGAAGGCCACACATACAGAAAACCGGAGGAGGCAAACAGGCCAGTAAGAGCAAGGCAGAAAATGGCTTCACAGCTAGCAAGTTCAATGTTGCCACCATGGATTCTAACAGGATTTCTTTAAAAATGTGCTGGGTCTCTAGTAGCCTTCCATAAAGTGAACAGTGTCACATGTGTCACATGCAGGCAATGTTAAGGAGCTTGTTTTAAATAGTGGGTCTCACAAGCTACACGTGTTGCCTCTTACAGGAGGTCACTGTGAACGATGCCCATCTCAGGAGGGAACAGGTGCTCTCAGCAAGAAGCTGGCACCCCACCCACGGCTGCCTGAAGGAGCACTATGGTGCTCATGGCCTGTTGGGTACTATGCCCACGGCGGGTGGGGGGGGGGTCTTACCTTCTCTTCCTGGTCACTGTCACTGTCACACTGAAAACGAAGAGAAGAGAATAAAGGTTAGTGCAATGACTATGCTTTTGCTTTTGCTATTTCTGCTCCTGAAAAGGGCAAGACAAGTAAAGGAAATAGGAAATATATTGTGAGCTGCAGTTTCTTCAGCCCAAGGGTGAGGGAACAGGACCAGAGGTGGAACGCTGTCCTGTTGAGGCCACCTGATGCCTGTACCTCGGGGCTCCCTCACAGTCAGGGCAGCAGGTGCTGGTCCCACCGTGAGCCCCTCCACAGCACAGCTCAGCAGACGGGGCTCCCAGTAGGAGCCAGCCCGGCCACGGATGGAGGAAATGTGATTCCTAAATGGGATCTGAGCAAAATCAATTTCATGACAGACTTTCTACCTTCAACTTCGGGAATTTCTCCTGGTGCTTTTCTAAAGGAAAGGAGGTAAATCTCTGGACACTGCCTTTTCAATATTGAAGGAAACAGAATATAAGGGGCAAGGCTCCATTTGTGACCCCCGAGAACAGAAGGAACACTCCCTGCAGAAAACATGCCATGGAAGGGCAAGGTGACAAACCCACAGCCTGGGCAGGGAACCACCAGGGGCACAGACCACACCAAGCCCAACAAGTCTCAAACTCCAACTGTGAAGCTGGCTGTGGGGCAGCCAGAGAAGGACAGTTAACTCAAGCTTTGGGTTCCCCATTGCGAGTCAAGGAAAAAGAACACCTCTTTTTAAATATCAAAAGAGTTATGTAAATCAATACTGGATTTTAAAAAGGGGAGTGTGTTTTGTTAGAGAAAATGCTCAGCAGATATATATATCCATTCACTCACTCAACAGCCACTGAGAAAATAATGCTATGCATTGCGAGAGCATTACCCAAGACGGTGGATGCCCTCAGCTAGGCGCAGTTTAGCAGGGCTGTGGCATGCTCAGAGCGCACTCCATCAAGAGGGCTCTTGGCATGGGGTGGGGTAGAGGAGAGAGGATGCACAGGGGGGAACTAGGTCACCCCATGCTAAGAGTCATCTCCACTGAATACCGGTTGTCACCCAGTAATCACTGCCACCTAGGAGGGCCTGGCGTGGGAGAGGGAGGAACAGATGGTGGAGCCATCCTGAAGGAGAACCAGCAGCACTCAATGACACATGGAGATGGGAGGCCAGCACCAGGGCTGGTCTAGGGTGACACCAAGGTTTTCAGTGTGGCCACCTGGACATGGGCGTTGACAGAGGTATGGACAGAAATGGGAAGCGGCTGTGCTGTCGAGTGGCCACTGCCGGGTACACCCACAGCCACTTGTAACTCCCTTTCCCTAGTCCTGACCCTCTGAGGTGGAAAACGTAGGTATTCTTTTTCTCCTTTCATAATGGAATATTACTCAGCAATAAAAGAGAATAAAATCATGGCATTTGCAAGAAGACAATGCTAAGTGAAGTTAGCCAATCCCAAAAAACCAAATGCTGAATGTTTCCTTTGATATAAGGAGGCTGATTCATAGTGGGGTAGGGAGCGGGAGCAAGGGAGGAATAGACGAACTCTAGATAGGGCAGAGGGGTGGGAGGGGAAGGGAGGGGGCATGGGGTAATTAATGATGGTGGAATGTGATGATCATTACTATCTAAAGTACAGGTATGAAGACACGAATTGGTGTGAATACACCGTGTGTACAACCAGAGATATGAAAAATTACACTTTATATGTGTAATAAGAATTATAATGCATTTCGATGTCATATATAAATTTTAAAAAATGAGATTTGAAGTCTGCTGAGAGTTCTAGAAAAAGATCTTCTCTTCTCAATGCAAAGAAAAAGGTAGGAACCATGTGCAACTTGCCTTTCAACATGACTGTGTGAGATGTGATGTCCAGATCCACAGCAGCCATCTTGCAAAATTGTGGCAAAAAGCCTAAGTACACAAGCTGGATGTTGCAAGGGAACGGAAGGCGGAGAGCAGAGCCACTGAACCCCTCAGAGCAGCTGCCTCTGGATGTTTTCGTTCAGAAAACAGTAAGTGATCTTATTACTTAGGCCACTGTTGGAGCATCTTCAATGGAAGGTGATGTAAGAGCCCACTCCAAGTGGACAGTTTGGTGACTACTTCCTCTTTTCACACCAGCACTCCACCCAAGAGGAGTTGAGGACTTGCACTGCGATCTTACAGACTGGAGGGCTGGGACGTGTCCTCCCCCTCCTCTCAGCTCCTGAGCGCCACAGGATCATTAACTATCAGTGACCATGGTTCGACCAAGGACAACCACACCCCTCCAGCCCTCTTCCAGCTTCAGATGACCTTAAGCCATGCTCTTTAGCCTGATGAGGGATTTTTCTACTACAATAAGTCAAATGAGCTGTGGAAGAAAATGGGCGAAATGAAGCCTCCAAAGGCCCCAACCAACAGATGGTTGAGGACAGTGGTGTTCTCCTCGCAGTGTACCTCCCCTTGCCTTTAATCGAGCCCTCCTGGAGGCCCCTCAGTCCTGGGCACGTTTTCAGGAGTGGCAAGGCATGGTGCAGGAGGTGAGGAGGAGAGGAGCTCTTTGCCAGGCGGGGCTCCTTCTCCAGATTCTCTGTCTCCTCGGGAGGTGATCAGGGACAGCCGAGGGCCGCGGCAGAGCATTTGCCCACACCCCTGAGGCTCTGTGCGCATGAGGGAGAAGTGCTGGGGAGCCTGGGAGAGAACCGATGCCTGCCCCCGTCCCAACAGCAGGATATCCCTGGGAATGGTTATTTCTATCAAAGTGTTAAGCTTCCTGCTTTCCAACAGTCCAGTTCTAATTTCAAGGTCCACTTAATTCTGCATCAAGTAATTACTGATATACCCAGAAGCACCTTGTCTCCAGAGCTAAGCATATGGTGAAGAACTGAGACCTACTGGTATCCATTATGGAAGCAGCACGGATGCCAAGCCGATTAAAAATGCTCAGGCTCCCCACACAACACGCGGGTGAGTGACAGCTCCTCGGCGGGCCAGCCGTGGAGTCTGCCAAGACCGTCTCCGCTGCGCCGGGGCCCACATGGTGCGCTGAGAAAACAGTTCCATTTCTGGTATTAAATTCCCATACTGACCCGAGGATTTTGCCGTGAGCTCAGCAGGAGCGCACCATCCAATTTACAGCTCCGCTCTCTGGAGCCTCGAGTGCCAGCCCCTGGCAGAGACGAATGATGGTCAACCCTCCAGCTCATAAATTATGCAAAGGCAATAAACGCACTCAGCAAACAGCGCCCAGCGTTTGCCTTGCCTGGCTCCTAGCGCACTCGGTGAGGAGCCAGGAGCGCGACACATACAAGAGGCCTGTTCCACTCATAAAGGGGGTTTGTTGACAAGCCCAGACGGAAGGCCAGCCTCGGGCCTGAGGAGGATTTCTGCTTGGCTGGCAGCACTTTATGGGTCTGCTTTAGGAAAAAAAGGAGGCTGTGATGGAGTCACATGGGCAGAATTCATGGTCTCAAGTTCACATTTCACGCACTGTCCGCTCTCATACCCTGTGTTGTGTCTTTGGTGGATTTGTGGCCAAGGGATTCTTGGTCTTCATAGATTAAAGGAAGAAGTATCTGCCCTTGATCCCTAGATGCCCACTCCCACTTTTAGGAGTTCACGCGGACCACCTCCCAGTTCAGGTCTGGGTGCCGATGAGGCTGGGAAGTGGAAAGGGCAGCTCAAATGCAGGAAGGGGTCCCAGTTGATCCAGCCGGTTCCAGCATTTTGACACGAGGGTCCTGCTTTGGTTTATTAGCAAACAGGGTGCACACCACCCACCAGCTTGAGGTGATGGGTCCTCTCCATGACAAGGTTTCAAAGCCCCTTGTGAGAAGCCCAAAATATTTTCTCCATCTTAAAAGGAAGAAATGAAAAGCAACAACTAGCCCTTTCACTCCCGGGAAGGACTGCAGGCCCTGGGTCCTGCCGAGACAGGACCCAAACCACTACAGACAGACAGGAAAACAGGATGCACAGACTGCCGACCTCAGCCACAGGGCAGACTCAGGAGGACACTGGCTGCCTGCAAAAGTCTTGACCACCCCAACATGGCCACATGCGACACCATCTGAGCCTTCTCTTCCCCGCAGCTCCAGGAGTGGATGTGACCTGTGGGGACACCTCTTCTTTTCCCAGTTAAGCCCCTCCCCCAGGGCTCTTTAGACGGACCCCCACTCACTCAATGTTTCCCTGTTTAAAAATACGTGCTCATTGGATGCATTTGTGAATGCACGGGTGAACATGTGAGCACACGAGTGTCATTCTTTCTAGCATTTTCTTTCAAGGAACCATGCACAGCTCTCCTCCCCATTTAAGAAATGAAAATCAATTCCTAACATTTTGCAACCTGCTTTTATTTGCACATATGTCAAATATTTTGATTTAGTTGGTCATATTTGACCTGGAACATCACTTACAGAATGGCTGCACTACATTGTGGATTGTAACATAATCTAATTCTGAAAATCCCAAGTGCTGGGTGCTCGGTGTTTCAGGTGGACATCTTGGAAGCTGTCCCTTTGCACCCACCCGAATGCTGCTCTGTCCTGGGACCTTTTCACAGCCCTTCCTTCCCTGCATATTCTTTAATGCCACTGTCTCCCAAAATTACGTCTGTATTGCTGTAGTTTTTCTCTCTTTCCAGGGGAGACCCTGAAGAGTCCCTTGGTTCCAGAAACACTGAGTCTAAAAAAACCTCAAGGCCCACATTTGCCAGCTAGGTGGCTTTGGGAAGGTTATCTGAACCCTGTGCGTCCATTTATTTATTTGTAAGATGTGGCCAATACTAGCATTTTGAATAGGCAAGAATAAAATGAGTCAACACACATGAACAGCTGACGGCCAGCGGTGCAGGGCACACGGGGGCAGAGGCCGCCTGTTACACTGCTGTTTGCTACGTCGACCTCCCTCCTGAGGCACGGGAAGACTGTGCTGGGAGTCCATCCAAATCTGGATCCCACATTGTCTGCATCCTGAAACCTGCGCCTTTCCTGGGCGGTGCCTGGAAGCAGATCATCCCGCAGTCACTCAGCTGCACAGCCGAGAGC